GGTCTCCTTTTTTTGTTTTGTGTGGGGCCGTGTTTGTGCACGACTTCTTCTGCTTGCGGTTGGACGTGTGTCACTCCTGCTGGAGACGTTGCACGGCGGGAGGAGGAAACTGGGTAGCAACACAGTCGTTTCCGTTAGCTACTACAAATCCGTGTGCACATCCGTGTGCATATTGAATTTGGCAGCTTTGATACTCCCCCAGATTTTCTGCGAAGCCGTGTGCGCGGGGATTGGTGGCGGAGATTGCTTGTCCTCCATGGAGTAAGCACCAATCGTTTACATCCACGGACCCCTTCCCTCCCCCGTACGCGCCGAACATTCTCCCTCCCAGGTGCTGTGGGTGTTCGTGGTGGCCTCTCCTGACGGACGAGCCTTCCTGCAGCTGTTCCTCGACCTCGACCTCCTCGTCTTCTGCGCGAGAGGGTCCTCCATCCGGGGAGAGATCCGCTTCAACACCCCCGAACATCTGTCGTGCGGCGGGGCTCGCGTGTGGCACCACGTCCTCCTGGCCCACTCGAGGGCGAAGAGCCGCCTCTTGGGCACGAAGGACAAGCTGCACCTGTGGGTGGACGGCGAGCTGGCCGATACCGTCAAGGTTGGTGGAGAAGCAAAAGCCGTTGGTAGTCTTTTCGTATAGAGGGCAGCAGCTTTTCGTTGGTGCTTGGGGAACGGAAAGGGCGGGCGGGCGCGAGGGAGGGGTTGGGATTTTTGTGCAGGGGTTGGTCAGCATGTACTGCTGTAAGCGCTTCGATCCAAGTGTGTCCGGCGTGTAGTGGCCCGCGTTGATATTACCTACCCCTTGCCACGGTTCGGCGGGATGCCGAATCAAACTCGTGGCATGTCTGGTTTGGCACAGCAAACGCACGGACGATGACCATCTTCTGCTTCATCCTTGTGATGTGATAGCCTGGGCTGGCGAGCGAAAACCCGGCGTAATCGCTCCGTCCCGGCATTGTTGTAGGGATGGAAGGTCCACGGTCCATCGACTACGGCATGCGTTTACATGAGCACCCCCCCCCCCC